GGGGGGGGGGGAATTCAGGGTTAAAAATAAGCTGACCGTTCTTCCGGCATCAGGACCTGAAGCAAAAAACAAGCCTGAATGTCTTCATTCCATCAGCAGAAGAGCAGAGCTTGATCCAGATTACTCCGACTGTGTTATGCGTGTATTCAGTGTCTCGTGTGTTTGTAGCATTTCTCTAGTTTTAATGCACATTTAATCACTGTGGAGAGAGAACTAGCAGCTGAGATTGAACAGAACAATGAAATGTGTATCTGCGTCATTCAGCTTCCTGTTAGCGTTTGCCAGGAGATTCTTTAAGCGCACTATCGACAGATTTAACCTGCGTCTGCCTCGCTGCTCGTTAAAGACACAAGTATGCCTATGCAAATATGAGGAAGATGCTAACGATGATGACAACAAGCAGAACTTCATGAGATCTGCTGAGTACATCCGTAAATATAGTCAAAGTGTAAAAAAAGAGAGGAGAGGAGATCATATGTGACCCTGGAGCACAAAAGCAGTGTTAAGTCGCTGGGGTATATTTGTAGCAATAGCCAACAATACATTGTATGGGTCAAAATTATAGATTTTTATTTTATGCGAAAAATCATTAGGATATTAAGTAAAGATCATGTTCCATGAAGATATTTTGTAAATTTCCTACCGTAAATATATCAAAACTTAATTTTTGATTAGTAATATGCATTGCTACGAACTTCATTTGGACAACTTTAAAGATGATTTTCTCAATATTTAGATTTGTTTGCACCCTCAGATTCCAGATTTTCAAATAGTTGTATCTCAGCCAAATATTGTCCAATCCTAACAAACCATACATCAATGGAAATATTATTTATTCAGCTTTCTGATGATGTATACATCTCAATTTAGAAAAATTGACCCTTATGACTGGTTTTGTGCTCCAGGGTCACATATGTCAATGATTGACATCTAAACACATGTGTCTGTGTGCATCAGTATTTCAGATGGACATTTACATTTATGCAGATGTTTTTATCCAAAGTGGCTTGCATTGCATTTAAAATGCACATTTGATCAGATCCTGCTTTCCCTGAGAATCCAACCCATTACCCTGGTGTTGCCAGCCCCAGTAATGCTGTATGTGTCTATGCATAAGTAAAAAAGTGTTTATTTTTTGGCACTGTACTGTTTTTCGTCACTCCTGCTGTGGTGAATAATTTGTTTTTATAATGGTAAACATTGCATCACTTAATTTGTATCAGCTCACAAATAATGCATGAATAGCAGTCATAAAACAATTATAAATACAGCTTTAGATTGTATATCAGAGAGTTCAGTATGTCACTCATCTGCAGAAAGAGCCACAGAAGGTTTCATTCAGAAACGTCTACACATCCTGCTCATTCTGTGTCACTTTATGATATATTGTGGCTAATATGATGATGTTTTCTGCTTATATGACTGCAGTGTTCTCAGCTCTGTTTAACACTTTTACATCATCTCAATTTGCAGATTTCCATGCATTTATATCTTTAGATTCTTCTAGAATAAATTCGTTTTTGTTTCACCGAAAGTTTTCTCGTAGCTTCGTAAAATTACGGTTGAACCCATGATGTCACATGGATTATTTTAACGATGTCCTTACTACGTTTCTGAGCCTTGTTCGTGTTAGTAACCTTGCTGTTTATGAAGGGTCAGAGAGCTCTCGGATTTCATCAAAAATATCTTAATTTGTGTTCTGAAGATGAACGAAAGTCTTACGGGTTTGGAACGACACGAGGGTGAGTAATTAATGACAGAACTTTCATTATTAGGTGAACTATCTCTTCAAGGCCTTTGTTTGACGAGTCACATGTAGGTTAGAGGTTAAAATTATTTTCATCTCATCTATTTATGGTTTTGTTTATGTGTCAGGTTATGAATGGCATGTAGTGTGTGTTAATGAGCAGCAGGGTGTGCCCTAGATAGGCAGGGTCAGGTGTTAGTGATGTGGTTTTGCTGGTTTTTTTCCCCCAGGCACACACACACACACACACTCACACACACACACACACACACACACACACACACTCACACACACACGCACACACACTCAGATACATGTACTGCAGCAGAGCAGTGAGCAACAGATGAGAAGAAGTGATCTGAAGACACATCCATCAGTGCATCTTCTGTTTGATGGACATTTTTACACTCAGAACTGGAAAAGAAAATCTGTTGGAGAATTAGGGAAAGAGATGTGACGAGCAAACGTGTGCCAAAGGAATAATGTCAATATTCAAACAGAAGAGGAGTATTATTATTCATCTGCATTGATTGAGCAGCAGGACTGTAAGTGAGAATGTACTGTATGGACATAAAACCGCGTTTGGTTCGATCCAAACCCGTCCTGCACAGGAATCTGTGTCGAGTGAGACGCTTCCCTCACCATCCGCACGAGCAACACTCAACCAGACAAACCCAAACCAAAACTCAGCCGATTACCAGGTAGAGTCCTGACTAAACCGCCTCTGAGACCGAGAACACGGTTTAGCATGAATATTCTCATACGTGTGATAGATCTGAGCTGAAACACGTTCTACTTGATGCTGAGACTGTAACCGATGATTTTAATAATATCTCTGCCAGATCAAAACATCACGCTGCAAAAATGTGATGTTCTTCAGTATCTGTTTTCCAGTATAAATATCTGCCAATGGAGTCAGAAAAATAAACTTGTTTTGCCCTTGAGTTAGGCTGATTTTTATTAGTGGTCAACCGATATATCGGGCGATATTTGGCATTTTTCAAATATCGGCATCGGGCGATTAGTTTTTCTGTTTGGCCGATGCGTTCGAGGCGGGACTTTTATTTTGACGGCGCACCGTCGTCGTTAACAGTTCTGTCTAATACGGATAGAAGTCTGTCTAATAATTAAAAAAATAAAGGAATTAAAATGTATACAAAGTATTATAACGATTGCTTTTATATTATTAGTAATAGAAAGGCAAACATTATAATACTTTCTCGTTTGCCGTCAGCAATCAGCAAATACACATTTACATAATTTAAACAAATCTTTAAATGACTAGTGAACATTTAATTTCACAAACCTTGCAAACTTAGTCAAATCCAGTTGTGAGATCTTGTGAAATGTGACCTGCATGCTCGCGTGTTCTCTGCGTGACTTTCGGTCCGTACAAATTGAATGCTTTAAACATTAAATTCGTGATTTCAAATTATGCTGCGCTTTATGCATTTACCCACTGTATTCATGTCATTTTCACTGTGTGCTGAATGTAAAATGAGTGTTACCTTGGCTTTATTTGAAAAAATATGATTCCCAATGCACACAAACTTCCCAGAATACTGAGTGCTCTGTTGGTTACAGTGTTTACTTCCTTTTTAATTAGATTTTTATTAAATATTAATTTATTTGTGATAAATACTGTCATCTAAAGTATAAGTATGTTTATTTTACAAATTTATTTTTAATCCATTTTCAAATGATTTCAGATTTCTTAAATATTAATTAAAATAAATAAAATTATATCGGCTTTATATCGGCCACCCTGCTTTCCAAGATATCGGCATCAGCTGTCAAAAAACCCATATCGGTAGACCACTAATTTTTATGACTCCACAGACCTCAGTCAGGACTGAAGTACAGTGCGTTTAATGGATGTTGAACAACATACTGATCGTTCAGCTGACGTTATGTCTTTCTGAAAATAACTTCCGTTACACAAAAACTCGTTGTGAGCTGTGAAAATTCCACGATCTAAAGACTGTAAGTCTGTCTATTGCAGTCTATCGGCATCTGTTTGTTAATAAACATAATGAATTTTGATACATTTCTCAGAAGTACTTCTTTATCCTCTGTCATTTTGTATCTCCAGTAAATGTATCTTGGTTTAAGAAAGTTTAGATGTTAGTGCTGGAAAACAAGACTTAGGAAATACTGAGGAAGAGCAGCACTTTTGCATGAATAGCATGTTCTGTTTTCACACATTTTTTAGTGAATATCGTGTATAATATGTGTTTTTGCTCTGTGTTCTTTACTCTTGGTTTCCATTAAAACACACATCAGTCGCTAGATGACTTAAAGAACATCACATTTGCTTCTACAGATGCTGTTTTGTAAATCTGACATTAGTTCAGCATGATGAGAGTTCGACGCTGCTGGAGTCGACTGACAGTTTCAGCATTGATTTAATCAGGGCAGTTCAACTGAAACCGGTTTTACCAGCTGACTAGCTTACTAGCTGTCACCAGAAACTCATTAGCACGCCAAAGACATGAACGACGGTTCGTTTGGTCAGTTACCTGTAAAAACTGGAACCGGACGTAGTTTGAGTTTTGAGCTCTTGTGTAGAAGACGTCTCATTTACATGCTTGAGAGTCCAGGGGCCAGTGGCTCAAAAAGTTTAATCTGGATCAGAATGATGTGGATTTGGAGATCCCATGTTTTGCGATCCAGGATCAGGTAACCCATCTTATTTTTGTGCCGGTTGGATTGGATCACACTGATCCAGATACACACTTTTTCAGATTTCCAAATCTGGATTACTAGAGCTCTACGGAGCCCCTAAAGGGACATGCTGATGGGAAAAAGCCAATGTTTTGCATTGCATTTACACAAATAACTACTTCTGACTGGTTCATCTCTGATGATTGTGCCAATGTAGTTTACAAGCAGTGATTAAAAAACAACAACTTTAAATTAAATATAATATTTTTGTTTGATATTGACAGCTGTTTGTGGATTTGGGGATGTATTACATGTTACAAATGTTGTATTTTTTGGACCAGTTTTAAAGTTTTATTACATTTTTGTTCCTGAAATCCAGCCTTCTGCTGGGATCAGAATAATCCTGTTTATTTATTTTTTTTGGATCAAAAGTATCCCAATCTTACGGAAACGTTTTGAACAACACAAACTGAGGATTCAATCCAGATCAAAATGCACAGATCTTTGCACAATCCAAAATTCTCGTCTGAAATTGTAGCGCGTTAAAACATAAATACGACCTCACGTTGTGTCAATCACGTTTACACACTGCCTCCAAAACTTTTGTCCGTCATAAAAAAAATTCAGATCAGGTTAGATTTTCTGCGCTTTCCTATCTGTATCAGGCATTTTGATAGGAAAGGATGACGAATACGAAAAAAAAAAAGAAAAAAAAATGCGGTCCCACTTTATATTAAGTGACCTTAACTATGTCCTTGCATCAAAAAATAAGTATAATGTACTTATTGTGTTCATATTGTATTGCAAAACACTTTTGCTGCTATTGAGGTGGGATATGGGTAAGGTTAGAGACAAGTTTGGTGGTATGGGTAGGTTTAAAGTGTAACAACAGTGTAATTATAAATGTAATTACAGATGTAATTACATGCAGGTATTATTAAAATATAAGTACAATGTAAAAACATGTATGTACACAATAAGTGCATTGTACCAAATTATTTATTTAAATGCAAGTACATAGTAGTTAAGGCCACTAACGCATATGTGACTCTGCAGCACAAAAACAGTCTTAAGTCGCTGGGGTATATTTGTAGCAATAGCCAACAATACATTGTATGGGTCATTTTGATTAGTAATATGCATTGCTAAGAACTTCATTTGGACAACTTTAAAGATGATTTTCTCAATATTTAGATTTTTTTGCACCCTCAGATTCCAGATTTTCAAATATTGTCCTATCCTAACAAACCATACATCAATGGAAAGCTTATTTATTCAGCTTTCAGATGATGTATAAATCTCAATTTCATAAAATTTACCCTTATGACTGGTTTTGTGGTCGAGGGTCACATATGAAAATTTCGGACTCAGTGTGCAAGGACCTTAATCCGAATTCAGAATCCTTTTTTCTTTTAAACAACCCATTTTCAGGATTTGATCCAATCCGATGGCCAAAATCTGATCAGATTGGCCTCTGATGCTCAACCTTTGTCCAGTATGAACCTCCAGACTGATGCTTCTTTGTCACCATCATCCTCTTCCTCTTCCTTTGTGTTTCAGGGACTGCAGCCTCACCGCGATGAATGTTGAGTCCTGGGCGGACTCACCTGACCTCCCGACCCCGCAGCAGCCCGACAGGTTGTGCCTGGAGTCCTTCTGGAGCGAAGTGGAGACCATACGGAGCGACTCGGAGCCAGACAGCAGCAGACGAGATTCCCGACAGTCTGAAGGTGAGGCCGAGACTAGGCCTGTGCAATTAATCCAAATGCAGTTTCGATTTGGATTTCGGCCTCCAACGATTTTAAAAATACAAGAATCGAGATAAAACGATTATTGCGCCCCATTCCGCCCCCTTTCCAGCAGTGCGCTTTTGCTCCTCCAAAAAAAACCCAATTTCACCTGCAAATCAGTAAAATCATGCAAAATGGGACGTGCTTGATTTATTAAAGTTGATTAGATTTATTCATGTTTTTAAAAGCACGAAAAAGAACTTGCACTGTTCCTCATGAGGATTTTGTGTGTATGTGCTCAATGTGTCAAAATGCGGTGCTTAGTAATATTTCACGTAAACCCTCGTCAGTTATGTAATAAATGAACATAAAACAGTTGAGAATGAAAATAGGTGTGTAACATGCTCTTAAAGTGACAGCAGCCTAATATTCCTGCTGCTAACTGTGAGCTTAATATTAATCAAACAACAAAAAAACAAAGACAAAATCACTCCCTGCTCCTGAGTGAAGGACTTTTGTAGCTTTAATAAGAAACAAAGAAAGTTTAATTCTTACAGTGAAGACTATGCTGTTTTATTTTACTTTAGATTATTCAATTTCTGTAGTAGGCTGTTAACTGAATACTTAAAAAAAAAACTTAAAGCACAGTTTGTTTCATTTGTATCTTTTTATTCTATTGTATTTGTCCTTTGCTTTATTATTTTGACAGTTTAATTGTTTTCAATCATTTTGAGGACTTTTGTTTTTGTTTTTTACTAATATTAGTTATTATAGTACTCTGCTGTGGTATTGAGAATCGTGAAATTTCGCTGGTCTCTAAAATGTAGATGTCATAGCAACCTCATTTACATAAAATATGTATTTGATATATATCACTGACTGAATAAATCATTCATATAACGTTTTGGTCATATGGCCCACTCATAATCGTGTTAAATAATCATGATTACAATATTGACCGAAATAACCGTGAGCCCTAACCGAGACGCATCACGCCGTCTCAATTTATTTAAATCCACTTAAAAGAAAAAAATTACAGGGACATCTGTAATATTTATGTCCCTGTAAATTGTTTATTTTAAGTGGATTTAAATAAATTGTTAAAGTGTGTGTGTTGTGTGTGTGTGTGTGTGTTTGTTTGTGTGTGTGTGTGTCTCGGTGTGTGTGCGTGCGTGTGTGTGTGTTTGTGTGCGCGTGTGTGTGTTTGTGTGCATGGGTGTGTGTGTGTGTGTCTCGGTGTGTGTGCGTGCGTGTGTGTGTGTGTGTGTTTGTGTGCGCGGGTGCGTGTTTGTGTGCATGTGTGTGTGTGTGTGAGAGTGTGTGAGCGTACCTACTTAACCATATTTTGGGGACAAATTTGTACCCAAAAGTGAGCTAAACCTGACAAAATATCCAAAAACCTCCCTTTGAGGACGTCCTCATTTGTAAAATTGGTTTAAAAATAAAGTAAACAAAGTATTTTTTAAATTGTAAAAATGCAGAAAGTTTTCTGTATGGGGTAGGTTTAGGAGTAGGGTTGGTGTAGGGCGATAGAATATACAGTTTGTACAGTATAAAAACCATTATGCCTATGGAATGTCCCCATTTAGATAGCTAAGTA